AATTGTTCACAAGTGTTCATATATACACTAGCTGCATATCTCAATATTGGTTTGCTCCTGAATGCGTTCATAATGAAGGAACTATTGTTCACAAACTGTTCATATTGTGTTCATATGTACACTAGTTGCATATCTCAACATTGCTTTGCTCATGAATGTGTTCATAATGAATGAACTATTGTTCACAAACTGTTCATATTATGTTCATACCTGTTTTTTTATTTATTTACTTTCGTGTAACAACTATTCTTATTATATTCATATTGTGTTCATAAATGCTATACAGTCCAAGTTCATATATATGTCAATTTTTGTTCGTATTTGACACAGTAGTTCATATATATGTGTGTATGTGTGTGTATGTGTTCATATGGTTTTTAAATTAACAAAAATAAATTAATAAAAATAATGAGATTTTTTGATTTTGTAACTCCTAATTAATGATATGGGTGACACATAAAAAAGAAAATTACCTAAATATCATTTTCCCCTTTGTTCACATATGTTCTTTGAAATTGTAAATATAAAATTTTAATTTTTTTATCATGATTAATCACAACCCTTTATTGTAAGAATCAATGGCCAAGTTTGGTTAACAAAGTTAACACAAAAATCTTGGTTAGTATTTGAACCAAACTCTCTCTCTATCTCTCTCTTTCTCTCTCTCTCTCTCTCTCTCTCTCTCTCTCTCTCTATATATATATATATATATATGCATAGAGAAAGAGAGTTTAATGTATAAATTCTTTTAACTGTATAATATTTATATATGCTAAAATAGAACATATAAGTTCGCACACCTTTCTCACATTTAATGAGGTTTGAATCATTGACTTCTTAAAAAGACAAAAACTCACATACTGCTAGGTCAAAAACCCTTTGATATAAAGTTCATATAAAAACATTATGTTGCAATAATTGTTTATTAATAGAATATATAAAACCCCTTTAAAGTTTAATACAAAATATAACTATAACAATAAGAGGTTGCTTAACATATATATACACAGGTTTTGGTAGTTGGTACTTGGTATACATAAAATATAGAACTCCAACAAGATAGAAAATAGAAATGGACACAAGTGTTCTAACAAAAAAAATTACATCTAACAAATGGCCTTTATAGTCTAACGGTATCTTAGTTTTTGGCTTTTTAATAAGTTAGAGTTTCAAACCTCAACAAAGATGAGAGGGTATCTAAGTTTATTTATTTTATTTATCTTGTATAAATATTATATAATTAACATAAGAATAAATCTAGATACAGAAGAGAACACCTGTAAAGACATCAAGAACAAGAGTATTACAACAGCCACAAACACCAGAAACTGCCATGATTCAACCACATAAACCTTCATCAGTTTCTCTATTCTAACCCTCAATGTTCTTTCATAATTCTTGTTAACATCTTCAATCACCTTGTCCAAGAAGGGCACTTTCGTCAATCTTACAGACCTGCTCATCCCATTCCATAAGTTAGCCACTTCTTCATCGTTCTTCAATCTGTTCACCATGATCCCTCTTTCTCTAAGCAACTTTGCATCCTCTTTGGTGTCGATAATCCCGTTCATTAACTCCGTGTAACGAGTCAAAATCAACGGTCCAGATGCGTTGCAGGCTTCGTACGCTATCAGGTTTCGCAACACGACGTCTGTGTTCACATCCAAACTCAAAACCGGAAGGAAGAAAACCGATGAGTTTGCATCGAAGTTAATCGTAAAGATTCCACCCGCTGAAGGAGAAAACCGAAAACCAGCTTTAGAAAGATCAGTTACAGAAGGGATCGAGATTTCTTCCGTTAATGGAGGTTTATGATCGCGTTGATCCACGTTTAAAACCTGTTTATCTTCTTTAAATACATGGTGTTTAAAGATTCTTACGACGGGTACATTGGAGACGATTGCCGGAGAAAACTTTTCGATGAGTTTTACGGGTTCCGAATGCTTCAATCTTTCAAGAAATCTTTGTACGCCATTGATGATTCCTTTGAAAAAATTGTATCGTGTTTCTTCTTCTTCTTCTTCTTGTTGATTATGGGATAACATAATGGGATCCACAATCATGTGGTATAGAAACCCTAGCACATGGGTAGAATGAAGAACCTGGCGGACGTCCGTAATAACCCTAAGAGGAGAAACCTCTTTACAAAACCCTACCAACATTGAAGTTAAAGACTTTTGAGCAGATTCCAAACAATGGAATTGAAATTCCAACATCTTTTCCAAAAGAAAAATTGGAATCTGGTTCTCCAACATCACAATATCTCTAAGAATGGCATCGTACGCAAATCTTCGACACGAAAAATCACCCAGACGCAACGTTCTTGACGAAAATCTCATAACGAACCCGTTTTCGATAGCGTAAACATCAAGAAATCCGATCAAGAAGGAAGCATCAAGAGCCATCATCCAAATTAGGGTTTCACCATCAAAATCCAAATACTTATGATAACAAGCTCGGATTCTTGGCTCGAAAACCGCTAACTGATCCACGATATGTTCGAACTTCAAACCACCATCTTGCAATTGCTTTTGGTATCTCCTTGCAGCAGAAATCTTGAATCTTTCCATCTCATAAAGCTCAGGTCTCCAATGGTGATAAGGACCTAATGCTACTTGTTGTGGAATGTAACAATCTGGTTTTGTAGACACTAAACTTGTTGGGACGTTGAATATGCTCACCGGAAAATCAATATCATCTTCTTCGATATCTTCATCGATAGTTTGACGAATCTGAAGGATCCACCTCCGGTCACCGGAAATCAGATTAGGGTTTGAATTCATTTGGATTCCGATTGCCGGCAGATCAATTTTGGCAATTGAAGTTATATGAGGTTTAATGAAACAGTTTATGAACAAATTAACCAATGCTAATTACTAATTAAAGGGTACTTAATTACTTTCCAATTTATTGCAACTAGTAACGTTTTTTTTTTCAATAACGTTGGCATAATTTTATATTTGAAAAAAAAAAAAAAAAACTTGTATACATCTTATCATTTAAATTTTAATGCGGAATTTTTTTCATCTTAACCTAGATATCTAATCTGTAACGTAAACTGATTAATCTAGAACGACAACCTACTTTGCGGGTAGCCTGGAGTTACCGTATTTGAGCATTTGTGGTCACAAAGGAATTTTTATTTCTTCTTGGATTTGAACTTGGGACCTGCAGTCTGCAGGCATTTTTAACCTTTGGAGTCAATCTCAAACCAATCAGGCATCACCCTTGTGATTTATTGATGAAATGTTTTTAGAAGCACTACAAGAAAATTGATCTTATAGGATATTTGGAGAATCTCCAAGAGCTTCTCTATAATTTCTCTAAAATAGAGAACTAAAAATCAAATCTCTAAAATAAATTATAATCAACTCTAAACAGATTCTCTATTTTAGGGGCTATTTGGCAATTGTTGAATGATTTGGTACAGAATAATTAAGAGACTCTCATGATATAATGCAAAATGAAATATAATTGTTTGGTAATTGTGTACAATGAAATTAGGGTTCTTAATGGTTAAGGGAGATCCATGATACAAAATCATTCAGAGGGTTTTAGAACCATTAAGAGACAGACTTTTTATTTTACCAAACAAAATTCACCTCTTAACGATTCAGATGTTGCCTCTTAATAGAACTAGTAAGAGGTAAACAAACAACCGCTTAAAGATTTTATCATTAATTATATCATTTAAATATTTTATAATTTAATTTATGATTCCAATACATTTTTGTTTAAATATATATCTGAAATAATATTAACCCAACCCTCATTGATGGATGAATAAAAAACTCATTTCTCTCTCTTCTCTTTGGGTTTATAAAGAATTCTCTATATTTGGAGTGATCTTTTATGATTCTCTATAAGGAAGAAGTTGAAGCAGTATAAGGAATAGAAAGTTGATTTTCTCAATTATTGAAAATCTGTTAGAGATGCTCTTAAAATGTAAAGCTTCCTAATAAAATATTTCATGGGACTTAAGTTTTTAAAACCAAACCAAAAAATGTCTTATCTAAAAGTGTTGCAATAAATTTATATGACGTTTTTTAAAAAAGTGTTAAAACACCTAAAAGAGTCTTATAAACATGTTATAACGCTTTTAGATATGATGTATACAGCTTGATCCTGTAAACCTAAGTTTTATAAAAATATTTTTGTAAGACGATTAGACAATCTAGCTACATGTCCTATAAAGTCAATGTTGTAGTAGTGACGAGTTTAGACTTCGTGGAAAGATTCACAAACTTTTGTAATAGTGACGAGTTTTGAAATTTAATTTAATTCCGTTAATTTATAAAAAAAATATATTATAAATTATTAAATTGTCTTTTATTAGATAATTATTACAAAACAATTATATATAATTAACATATTTTAGTACCTTATAATAAACAATTACTCCTAAATCCTTTGAAATACCAATTGTCCCTACGACATTTCTAATTCTAAATCCAATGCTTGAGATTTTATTGAATTTAATTCAAAATCCTATCAAATCTCGCTAATCATATGGGTTCTTAGGGATCGTTTATTAGGTAAGCGTTTATCAGTAAGAGCCATAACCTTTACTGATCGTATTGTGCAACATAATCGGCTATCAAAATGGATTGTTGGTAAGCGTTTACCGGTTAAGAATCTTTTTCATCACTTATCGAATAAGACTGTCGTTTCTTGCTATGCCTTTACCAGATAAACTTCTCAATTCTTATCATAGTCAATCGATAAAACATATGATATCGATAAACGTTTACCGGGTAAATGTTTGATAATTGTTGCTTATGTTTAAGCAAAATCTTGATGCATGTTAACTTAAATAATTTTGGTTCTCAAAATAATTAGAAAATTAGTAGCATATGTGAAATTGAAACATAAAGGCTTTAGGCAAGTGAGAAGCCAAGTTAATTTCAATGGTATTAACCGGCCCATTTCAGTCGTTGAAAAAACCGGGAAACTGTTAAACCGGAATTTTTAATTGATTAGAGTAAACTACAAATCTGGTCCCTGTGGTTTGTTAAAAATAACATTAACCATTGTAGTTTGTAAAAATGTTCCGATTTGGTCCCTATCTTTAACAGCCACTAGAAATTCCATTAAGCGAAGGGCTTTTTCATCATTTCATATATTTTTTGTCTTTTTACCCAACTAAAATCGATTTTATAGCTTTGGTCCATGTGGTTTTTGATGATATAAATTCAGTGCTGTAATCTCTAAGACAAATAAATTATTGAAGCTAAATGTTAATCCTTATAACGATTTTGAATTTTGACTTTTGATTTTGAAGATGTTTTGGAAAAAGCGTTGGAAATGCTCTTAGCACTTTTAGTGAGTATGAGTGTATATAGGTTGGGTTAAGCGGTTTTTGACATTTTTACAATCCAACTCAATTATAACGGTTTGGAAAATATCAACCCAACTCAACTCATTCAATAGTATACACCAACCCAACCCAACCTTTGCAAAACTGAGTTGGGTTGGCGGGTTAGTTATATACAGAAACTTCTACCAATTATCTTACTATGAAAAGTATAATCTGAGAGCCCATTTTTGAAAAGTGTTTCCAAACGTTTGAGGTTCTACCTTCCGTTCTTAAACGTGTTTGGTTCATCATTGTTTTTCATTTTTGGGGACTTAGGAGTATTTTCGAATACTCGTATACGTAGAAAATAGGATGAAAAAAAATACAAAGTTACAACCTACAAAAAACATATGGATCTCTTTATGTAATAAAAAAACCAACATCTAAGATCATCTATGCAATGAAAACAAGAATCTGTGATTCCAAGTGAGTTTGAAACATACTTCATATGTTCATTTATATTCATATTTTTAGTTTGAAATTTATGTTTCGAAACATACTTTAATATGTTCACTTATGCAATGAAAATATAAATTCATATAAAGAAAAAAAAAACAACTTCTAAACATTTGTGGTTCAAACTTCCAAAAGCATCTACGCAACAGAAAATAATGTACTAAAGTGCATATCCATCATTAACATCATACAACAGTGCTCGATCTAGTCGTTTTCAGTGCATTCATATAAATTATATATATATATATAAAATTTATCTAAATAATATACATTAGTGTTGGATTGGCGGTTTGGGTTGGGTTGAGTTACACTAACCTAATTTCAACCCTCCTAATTATCGTTTAAGTGGGTTGGCGGTTTTGTCTGTTGGGTTTAATGGGTTGTTGGTGGATTTGGTTGGATGAGTTTCGTTGGTTGACGTTATTTTGTACACCCCTATTTGTGAGTCATCCACATGTTTATCTTTAAGTTAGTCGAAACAAAATAGTTTCTTTAACGTACCAGAGCATTAGCATCTCCAAAATGGTGATTTTAGCGATTTTTATTTCAATAGATTCTTCAAAATTGAGAAATATGCGAGAGAAATGGTGTATTTCTTCAAACTTGGATAACTTTACAAAAATGAATAATTATGAAAAAGAAATGATTTTATATGAAACGTACCAATAAGAATCCTTGAAAATAAATATTTAAGAAAAAATATATTTTATAAATTATATTAAATATTTTAATAATATAATATATATACTAATATCTAAAACGAACTCTCATCATATACTGTAAAATGAAATATAATTGTTTATAATAAAATTACGGTGTTGAATGGTTAAAGGAGACTCATGATACAGAATCATTCAGAAGGTTTTAGAACCATTAAAAGACAGATTTTTTTTTGCCAAACAAGATTCACCTATTAATAATTCAAATGTTATCTTTTAATAAAATTATTAAAAGGTAAACAAACAATCTTTAAAAGTATATAATAATAAAGCAATATTTGTATTTATTATTACATTATTTTATTAATTTATTAAACTATTAATTTATATTATTAAAATAATTGAATAAATATTAATATATATTTTATATTCCTACGTTGATATAGAGGTCAACATTTTAAACCTCCATCTTTTTAGTATTTTATTGTTTGGTTGAAGATGAAAACAACTTATTTTTGTGTTTTTAACGTTGGATTAGAAGCGTTCTAATATATCATGATATATTTTTTATATTTTAATATATAATTTAACATGATTTTAAGTAATAAAAATAAAAAAATGTGATAAGAATTGGCATAATTTGAGATGAAGTAAGAATATGACACGTGGATATGGAAATAGTATTTTATTAACTCAGAAATATGTCAAATGATTTGACAATAAGATTACGTCATCCTACACACCCTCATTCTTCGTAAACCTATTCTCCTCCAAAATTATAATATTTAAATATTTAAGTGTTTTTTCATTTATAATTCAATTTACCTTTTAATAACGAATAAATTTATTTTTGATTTCATTATATAATTTTTTATAAATACTAGAAAGATACTCGTATAATATAACGAGATAAATCTTGATTTTAATATTTTATTTTATTCTTTTATGTTAGTCGATGTTATAATATGATCTTATATGATTTTGAGAAAATGATGATATTTTTATTTTTAATAAAATATAAGTTTGAATATATCATAAAAATTTGATAAAAATATATCAATATTAATATCAAATTAATTATTTAAAATTCCTTATTTTTTGTGTTATTTTCAATTCATTTTTTTATAACTTAATTTATGTACAATAACAATTGAATTTATATTTGGTTTAATAATATAATTTTCTTACAAATATAATAATTAATTATTTGTTTAGAACTCGATAATTATCTTAATTATATTTTATATTTTTCATATTTTAAAATAAGATGTTAATCTTCTATTTGATTATGTTTATCCATAATTAGTTATACAAATTCAAACATTGAGCGTTAATAAGTTGTATTTTTGCATAATTTATTTGTAATCTTGAATTTTATGTAAACATTGGTTTTGTGTGGTTTTGAGAAAGTGATAATGTTTTTATTTTTGAATAAAATATAAATTTAAAAATATTATAAAATTTTAAAAAAGAAATATCGATATCATTATTAAATTAATTCTTATTAAAGTTTTTGTGTTTTGGTGTAATTTTCTTAATTAAATTTTTTTAATTATAATTTAATTTAGGTTTAGTAACAAATAAATTTAGTTTAGGTTTAATAATATAATTTTTTATAAATACTAGAAAGATACTCGTATAATATAACGAGATAAATCTTGATTTTAATATTTTATTTTATTCTTTTATGTTAGTCGATGTTATAATATGATCTTATATGATTTTGAGAAAATGATGATATTTTTATTTTTCAATGAAATATAAATTTGAAGACATTATAAAAAAATTTAAGAATATATATTGATACTAATATCAAATTAACTATTTAAAAGTTCTCGTTTTTTGCCTAATTTTTTTATTATAATTTAATTTAGGTTTAGTAACAAATAAATTTAGTTTAGGTTTAATAATATAATTTTTTATAAAGATAATAACTAAGTATTCTATTAATTATCATTGATTATCCTAATTATATTTTAGATTTTTTATATTTAGAAAATAAGATGTTCATTCTATATTTGATTATGTTTATCTGTAGTTAGTTGGACGAAGTCAAGTATGAAGCTTTAATAAGTTGTACTTATGCACAATTACTTGTAATCTTAAATTTTATGTATTATGGATCATTAAACAATATTTTATATGTAAAAAATTATTTTTAATAGTTCTTTTCAAATGCTTTATAATACAGTATAGATAAATTGAAGTTAATTCAAAACATACACTAAGGGGTCGTTTACCAAATGCTTACTCGGGTAAGCGCTTACTAAGTTATATTACATTACCGGATGAATATGGCAATAACCAAGAATCTTACCTAGTAAGAGCGAGGCAAAGACCGAGAGTCTTACCCGGTAAGTGAGGACAATGACTCTTACCATAGTCAGCTCTTACCGGCTAAATTAGTGCATAGAAAGCCGTTTTTATTGACTAAAATCTTACCTAGTAAGTAAATGATAGTGTTCAATTTTACCGTTAAATGCTTACCGGATTAGTGTTTTGTAAACGGTCCCTAACTTATACCAACGAAAAAAGAATTAATAATATAAAATTTTATATACTAATTATAATTGATTTACACGAAAAAATTAAATAAGTTGCTAACGTCCACGTGGCATGAATGGGTGCATGGCAAGTAGCCTTGACCTCGGAAATCACAGAAGCATCGTCTTACAAATGGGTTCATGGTCTCTGGCATCTTACTCTTCCACCTTTCACAACAATCTTGTCAACTTACGGCACCCTGACGTTAACCTAAATCCTACACCCCACCACAGGGGTATTATTGTCCATTCCTACTTAACATCCGAACAACTTTATGGTTTGAAATTTTTTAACCCAACTTAATACAAATCAAGGTACAACTTAATTTAATCCAAATCTTACGAATTTATCAGATTAATTAGTTTGATACATTAAAATATTTTTAAAACTTTGAATATATTATTTTTTCTAATTTATTCATAATTTTTTTCATCATCGACTATTTGGTATAATTTATCTATATTTTATTAAATTTTAAATATATCATATTCAATTAATTTTTTCAATATATATATATATATATATATATATATATAAGTTCATAGTTATTGGATATATACACAAAGAAGTTACATAGAGATGGATAATAGGTTGAAAATATATGTATATGAAAAGATTACATGATTATGGAATTGTCTAATGTACATATTAATAATAATAAAGACTCATATCAATTATTTTCTTAACTGTTTACCATAATTATTATCATATCAATTATTTTCAGATCATATAAAAACCTATTTGTTTTTTAGTTATTAGTTAGAATTGTTAAATTTTCTCTTGATTAATAATAGGATCAACTAAAAATCAGAACCAAATGAACTAGCCCAGTCTAACACCTTATCAGATCAGATCCAATTTCAGCTTCTACCTTATTAGATTATATTCGAGCTTTTTTCAAGACAGTGTTGACCATGCTTAACTATTTTTACACTTGTCCATATCCAACTCTACTTTAGAGCTTTGCCAATAAGTGCGTTTTAACCATGGTGAACCGATTAAAAAAAATCACACCATTAAGAGGAATCAGTACATACCAACGTAGGTTCATAAAACATATGAACCACTTTTTCATCAAAATAGCGGGTGACAATCCAGTTAAATAATAGAAAATAATCATCAACCTGTTTCATAAGTGCATTTGCAGCAACTATGTTAAAAAAATTTCTAAATTAGAGTACCAAAAATCAAATACTCTAAAAAATATATATTCAACACCAAAAATATTTAATAGCATGGCGATACATTTATGTAAAACTTCTATCCCGAGCACATTGAAGATATAGTGTCATCATTTGTTGGAACCGAAATATCTGGGAGGCCGGGCCGCCGGGGTCACAATTTGTAATGTTGGTTTTAAGAATGAGTGATTGCCCAACCTGACAGCGAACATGAAATCCATAATTAATTATAAGATAAATAACTTATTTCATTTTGGAAAAAAAAATTACGGAAAATCGAAAAATTATATTCCAAAATTAAAATAAAATATGAAAAGGATTCACAGCAAACCCTTATTGCAGCCCATGCTACTGAGGAATTATAAAATACTATGATGGCTCTGTTGCCCATTATCCAATAAAACCCTAAAACGCCAGCCAATTGTATTGATCGTGAAATATTATTGAGAAAACGGGTTTGTGGGAGAGCAATACAAGCGTTGTGCTGCTATATATTCTATATTATCATTGAGAAATAGGACTGATGGCTCCTTTTGAGGTTTTTCACATGAGATTTTTAGTGAGGGTTTTCGTCATAGGTCGTAACTGTATGACCTGCTTTTTTAGAGTTTCTTCGTATTTAATTAGTTTTAATTTTATAAAATATTTGCGTATTTAATCAGTTTTATTTATTAATATAATTAAAGTAATCATATTAAAATAAGATTATTAAATAAATAACATAAAATAAATACATAATTAAAGTAATTACATTTTTTATATATTTAAATTAATATCTCAAATTTGATATATTTTTATACAATTTTTTTTACAGATTTCTTATTAACTTTTAAATTAACTCTTTTTAAAAATTTATATTTGACATTCTTAAATTTAACCATTTTTAAATTTTTTATTATACATAATTAACGTAATAATAGAGGTTGCATATCGTTACTTCGGGTCGGGTCAAACCAGATGCATAAATGAACTCTACGTAACAATCACCATTTCCCATGCAAGGTTTTCGTCACTCTTTATTAGATCCTTCACCTGCACTTCTCAGAAGATTAAGATGCCGTTTCGATGGAACTTCCATCGGAAACAATGAGTGCTGGCCTTTTCCACGATCAATCTTCAAGTAAATCTCAAATTCTCGAAAACCAATCACTTTTCGATCAAAATCTCGAAACCCCATCACCGGAAGCTGTAGTTTCACCGGAAAACAACCGCCGTGGTGTTCTGGAAGGCATTGCCGCGGTGGTCGGAGAACATGTTCTGTTCGGAAATAGTATGGCGACGGCCGGAGATGATAACGAAGAATCAAAGGACAAACCGGTGAAAAGTGGTGGTGATGGTGGTGGTGTAGAGAAGAGGTACAGAGGGGTGAGAAAGAGGCCGTGGGGACGGTGGTCGGCGGAGATACGTGATAGGATAGGTCGATGCCGGCACTGGTTGGGGACGTTTGACACGGCGCAGGAAGCGGCGCGTGCGTACGACGCAGCAGCTCGCCGGATGAGAGGAGCAAATGCAAGGACCAATTTCGAGATACCGTCGGTGTTTCCGATTCCGGCCACGTTACCTACATCTTCGCCGTCGTCGGAATCTAAAAAAAGGAAGGCAGGTGGTGAGAATAAGTGCAACGCAGTGACGTCGGTGGCTCAGTTGTTCAGTAACACCGGCCGGAAAACTATGAAGATAACCGGAGTTACGAGAAGCTCAATATGAAGATTTAATTCGAATATTAGAGGTACTTGAAATGAAAATCCCTTAGCCAAAAACGTACTAAAGAAATCATAGCAGGTTGAAATATACCTGCCCGGTAAAATTCAATAATATCTCTTAAGATTCTAGTTAATTAAAAAGACAATGTATTTAACAATATATCTTGTAGGCGTTAACGGGGTAAGAATCGTCAACCTCACTTACCGGATGAGAATATCGGTTTTTGTCTTCGCTCTTACCGGGTAAGATGTTTGGTCCTTAACATGTTAACAACTGCATGGACTAAAAAGGTAATTTACTCTACAAAGGAAAAAAAGTAGGTTGCATTTTTAGTCCTTGTGGTTTAAAAACTTTGATTTTAGTTCCCATGGTTATCAATTCATTGTGATTTTAGTATTTATAATTTATTGTTGTTTGATCTTTATGGTTTATAATTTTTTGCTTTTTTCATCCCTTGTACTTCAAAGTAGTAGTTAGGAACTCTTTGACAGTTGAAGAATAGTTTGATACAAGATAATGAAGTGGTTAGAATGATTAAGAAGTTTTTATAATATAATGTAAAATGAAATATAATTGTTTGATAATTTTACAAAATGAAGCGAGGATGCTAAATGGTTAAGACAAGCTTATGATAAAAATCATTAAGATGGTTTAAAACCATTAAGAAGCAAAAAAAAATTATTAAACAAGATTCATATCTTAGCGATTCAGAGTCTGTATCTTAGTGGAATTATTAAGAAGTAAACAAACAATCATTAGATTCGGGAACGAAAAAACAATGAATTACAAATCATAGGAAAAAAAATGCCATTTCTAAACTACAGGGACGAAAAACATAATTTCTTACAAACAAGAGGGACAAAAACCGTAATTTTCTCCTGCAAAAATGTTGACGTATGCACCAGCCGGGAATCGAACCCGGGTCTGTACCGTGGCAGGGTACTATTCTACCACTAGACCACTGGTGCCTTTTCTTCTTTTCCTCAGAATTACCTTTTATAACCGCAGTAGTACTCAAATTGCTTGAAAAAGTAATGTATTTTTAACTTGATTCCTATTTTGGGTAACGTACTTTCAAACTTTCATTTTGATATCTAATATGTAAAATTTTAAAAATTTAATTAATCGGGTAACTGGTTGAAGACTAAGTTTAGATTAAAAAATACTAATTTTAGATTAAAAGAACTCATGTCATTAACCATATCGACAAATAATACTGAGTTGAATACTACATCATTCGCCACAGCAGCATGATACTGTGTTATGCTTAAACCGGTTATCCAGTTACTTTTAAATGTTTAAAGCTTTACATCTTAAGTATCAAAATGAAAGTTTTGAAAGTATGTTACCTAAAATAAGAATCAAGTTAAAGTACGTTACTTTTTCATGCAATTTGCCCTTTTGTTAAAGGCGACCAAACATTAATAGAGAAGGGAAAAAATAAATTACAGGTTTTTTAGAGTACATGAGATTTAGGGACCGTTCACCGAACGCTTATCCAGTAAGTGTGCTTACCGGTAACAGGGAACACTTTCACTTAACTTATCAGGTAAAATTTTAGTCCAATAAAACGGAATCGTATGCAATATATTATCCTGTAAATACTTATCATATAAGAGTTATTACTCTCACTTACCAGGTAACACTCTCGGTCATTGTCACCGCTCTTATCAAAATTCTCAATCCTTGTCACGTTCATCTGATAATATATTATGATCCGATAATCACTTACCCCTTAGATTCTACAACCTGCAGACAGACAAAAACAATCAAACTAATATAATGGAAGAAGCTGAGCTGAGGGGAATGGAGTTCCCCTCCCAAACCAATTGGATGTTGTCGAAGATAAAATTCACAGATGCAACGAATATTGATTTTATCACTCATGACCTCGATGTTGATCTATCTATATTTGTCATATCCAAAACTCCTCGATGACGATGAAGTCCAAGACATGTTAAGTACAAGGAATTGTAAAAAATATAACTACAAGGTTGTTTATGTTTATCGTATCTACCTTCCAACGATTTTGTTTAATTAAATTACTGTTAAAACTTTATTCAATTTAATTCAACTGTCAATAAACCAAGCCCTTGCTTAAATTAGATTTAAGTTTTTTTTATTAATCTGGATAGCCAACCCGCTGCTATGCAAGCCGACTAATCTCATAGCCACTACGTGTTTTGCACGTAGCCCATAGTAATCGCATTTGAACCTTTGTGGCCACAAGGAGATTTTTATTCCTTTTTGAATTTGAATTAATAGGACCTATAGGCACTTTCGACCTTTGGAGCCCAGATTCAACCCAATCAGGTACCACCACCCTTGCGGTTATTTTAATATTTTTGCCAGATTTCATTACTTCTAAAATATCTTACGTGATCTCAGAGTCTCGTTAAAAGATCAATCCTGGATTCAATCTCTTCTCCAATTTTTATTTTTGGCAAATGCAAAGATACGTAACCGTTAATAAGGACATTTCCAATAGGTAATACCAAATTCATAAAAATTGATGTAAAATCTACTGTAAACAATAAATCTGTTGTAACTGGTAACATAAAATCTTATACCAAAATATAAATTTTACGTATATTCTTTTTTAACTTTTCCCGTTAGTGTAAAATTTGTTGTAAATTAATAATGATACACCAACTTGGCGTGTTACTATTTATTACACCAAATTTGGTGTCACCAAAGAGCGGTTTAGATGGTCCCAGATAACTAGTTGGTGGCCAAATATGCTTACCAGTATTGACTAACGAAATTGTACAACCACTTCAACTCGGATGGTTTAAAATGAAACCCTATCCTTCTCCATTCTAACATGCACAATACGAGTATTTTAAAAACCCGTTTAATTATATCACAGGATTCACAACATGGGTTCTTTTTTGGATAACTGTAGGTGTCTGAACAGCTTATGCATAATTCAACTGATCTCACGATATTTTGAAATTAACAACCAAACAAACCTTCAGATACTTTTATCTGTAATACTTATCAAAAAGGAACAAATATAAGATCCAGAAAGAATATAAGACTGCATCTAAAATGGTTAAAAAGATTTCTACACTATCGTTATCTTTTCATCAAAGAAAGTCTTCTCTCTACTTACACTTACTCTATCCATCAACGTTAGAACTTATTTTCTTTTGTTGACTGTTTTATATATCCTATGCCTACTTTACTCCTCGTCACCGGCCACCGGAATATTCAGATCCGGCACCGCAAACGAACCAATCGCCTCCGCCTTCAACCCTTCTACGTCGCATTGCAAATCCATCTGAAATCGCAACAAAACTTTAGACTCTTGGTACCCAATCCAGAAAAAAGACGGTGTTTTCTCATTTTAGAGATGCTTTTAAATGCTGGGTTCGTTTGATTTGGTTCCATATAAATACTCTCTTTGTTTGTTGTTATCATTCATGATCAAATCCATGTGCATTTTTCAAAATGTGTTGGTTTTTACCTTCATCTTCTTCAGGCTCTCATTCTCCATTCTCTGTTGCTGGCATGTGGCTTGTAAGCTTGCTAGTTGCTGCAAATCACAAAGGAAACCATAATCAACATTCAAGCTCCAGAAACAAGAAACAATAAAAGATTTATAATACAATTTCATCGTACCCGTTTCAATTGCTTTCGTTCCTTTAATAACGTCGTCTCATCCTCTTTAAGTTCAGCCAACGTCTACAGAACAACCGAACAAACCAAATAAATAACATCTCCAAGGATGTATATATCATTACTTCCTACAAGAATCTTTTTATTGGGTAACCAAAGGTGTCTGGGACGGTTTGTGCGCTGGTCAACCAATCCCATGGGACCTTGAACATATATTGGGACCCGGATAAGACTCAAACCGGCGACCTATAGAGAGGAGCACCAAAAGTCTGGCCTTTATTTGCGAGTTGAGCTAACCTGAAGGTATCCATATAGGAATCTTCTTTTTTGGTAACCATGGAGATCCATGCAGCTTGCGTGCATCTCGACTAATCCCATGGGACCCTAAAGATATTGGAGCCCTAATGAAACTAAAACTGGCGATCTATGAGGAGGAACACCAAAGGCCTAGTCTTTATTTGCAAGTTGAGCTGACCCTGAAGTTACCTACATATGAATCCCTTTTTTTGGGTTACCATGGGTATCCAATATCCATGCAGCTTGTGCGCATCCCAACTAATTCTACAGGACCCAGCAACCAAAAAAAATCTTACTTGCCCGGAGGACACTTGAAATAGCGTCCTATAAGGATAATCCCCAAGCCCTAGCCTTTATTAACCCTCAAGTTTCCTATAGGGAATCTTGAGATGCACATCAGAAGAAAGGGTTACCTTCTTCTTTCTTGGTCTCTTCGTGGGGGTTGTTTCATTCGGCCGTATAACCTGAAATACAATATGGCAATCAACAACTAAAACCAACAGATCTTATTCATGACAACATTTAGCAAACATAACCCGAGAGAGAACTACAAGAACACAAGATCTAGAAACGGGAATACTATCATCATTGACTTGTGTAAAGACACTGCTCATTTTTCTTTCACGTCAAGTAAACGGGACCTATCAATCATATTATTATTTCTTTCGATACAATATAAAACAATACTCAATAAAATAAAATAAAACTGTTTAATCTTCGATTTCCCCGTAACAAGAAATGATATAGATACCCTCTAATATGCATATGCTTGTCTTATTTGAAAGACACCAACGTTTGTTTTGCACACGTAGAAACCAATGCCAAGTTTAATATCAAAGTCAAAAGAAAAAAGTCCATTTTATAATCTAAAAGAATATATATATATATATATATATATGTATATATATATATGTATGTATATATATATATGTATATATATATATATGTATATATATATATGTATATATATATATGTATATATCAACAGGAATCATTCTTTCATACCCTTTAGAAAGTGAAGGGTAGAGAACCTCAAATTTGTCTTGCTCTTAGATTTTGAAACAAGACCCTTTTGGGGACACACAAAGATTACAAATTTGAACAAGCAGTCAAATATCAAACCGTATTAACAGTGTCTTTTGAACCAATTGTTGTAGGTTTGAAACCGTTGTTTTTATCTTTTGACCGTGTCTTAAAAGATTACAAAAAATTGACTGTTACTAGATCGGAAAATTAGAGTTCATCCAGATCATCCCAAAACAAAACCAGATTTGACTTCAGACCTACATAGTTTCGATCATAATGTTATGTTAGGGTGCCTTTAGCCATGTGGGTCATTCAGTATATAACCTTAGATGAGATTTTAATTAAAACCATGACCTTCTGTCACATTCAGATACTCATCAGAGAGGAAGATGACACAACATAGATAAGTTACTAAAATACCCTTCATTAACCAGTGGAATAAAAACTAAAAGAAGATGATACAAGATAAGTAAATTACTAAAATATATTCACTTAGAAATTTGATTTTTCTTTAAAGAAAAATCAAGAAATCTTGTCATGCACGCCCATGTAAAAGAATTTTTATTTTCCTTTAAAGAAAAAAGATCAAGAAATCTTGTCATGCAGGAACCATTTATTTGACCAGAATTTTATAGAGCCTGGGACCAATCACTAGTTATAAATGTTAAATGCTAGTGTCACCCAACCCGTCAAATAAACAAATAACAGACATCATCTTGACCCTTAAAACCGTAGAACATCCTTTTGACTTTGTCAACCAAGAGCTCTTGAAATTAAATATTCACTACAACCCACATGGAATTGTTTTTAACTGACTAATAGAAATAGACAACCAGATACGGTTGCACGCGAGTCCCAAGACCGCAACACACTAGATCATTACCCTCTTTCTTCTTCTTCCACACACCCAATAAAGTGCACAACAACTACCCAATACTCGCACCAAACACACACCCTAAAACTTGCCACGAAAACACGCCAACGATATAAATGGCATATACCCATGAGGAGAAAAGACGAAAACACCCCTGAGGGTATGGTTTATTTACGGTTTTTTTGGGTGAGTGGCATACTGGCATTCGTCTTTTTTTCAACCAAATCTAGATGGGTGATTGACTTTGACGGGTTGTGTACACGAGTCATGAATTTATCAACTACTATGAGAGATGTGAATTGACTAAAATGTCCTTTGGGAGGAAGGGTATTTTTGTAAAAAGGGTATGAGAAAAACGTGGAAAGTCGTTCAATTTCTGACTCTGGGCGTCGAAGGGAAGTCACCTGCTTCTCCTTCAAAAAAAATTATTATAGAATTACTCATGTGGGTATTTATAAATATTGGAAAATGGTAAAACGGTAAAAGATGATATGATAACGGTAGGTTTCCGGACATGAGTTTACAGACACGGATTAATCCCTCAGCTGACTACGAATAGTATGAAGTCATCGAAGGTGACCCCTTGACCGCCTTTCGGAGCGAAGAGTAAGGCTAAGGTTTTCCAAAAGTAAAAAGTGGATGAATATTTATCATATATAAATATTATATATGAAAAAAAGAAAACAAAAGGTAACAAAGGGGCTGTTTGGTTGGTTTTGTATGGATTAATTGTCTGTATAGATTAGAAAGATGTATTATACATTTAAGCACCGTGTATTTTTAACTCGAAAGGATATGTTAGCTTCCTGAATGTCTCACCTTCGATATACCAAACTACTACCAAACAGTCATGTATAGCTGACCTCGTAAACTACGAGTTTCATTGAATCCATTAAACTATTACGGGCCAATGACAGGGGCAATTTGGTCAACGGTGTGAAAATAGTGGAATCGACAGCATCGGAGGAGACACACGCCGATGAGATCTGATGTCGATGATTTTTGCATGGGACAAGGGTAAAATGGTAAATTTACAAACTGAAAAACCGGTAAAGTGGGGGATGTGTTTGATCTGACAAATCCTGAACCGGTGACCTGTAAATTAGGCGACCTACTAGGGGTATTATGGTCATAATGATTAACGCCATCGACAAACACGAGAAGCAAATGAGGTAGAACCACCGTCAGACAACCACACAACTACCGCCATAAAAAACAACAACATATATATACATACACACACACCTTAGATCTCGATACATCGGAGCGATTCGGAATTAATCGGCTAGACTCCTCGATTCCATCGCCGTTTCCGTTTCCGTTTCCATTTCCACCGCCGCTGACGGAAGTAGCACCGCTCCAGGACAACGGAGTTGTAGGACTAGCCCTAGCGGCCGGCGGCGATTTCTTAGCGACGGATGGAAGTAACACCACCTGCGGTCTCGAACGCCGCTGACGGATGCTCCAACCTAGCGGAGGCGACTTGATGTTCGACTGCGACGGCAGAGATTGTTGACGGAGCGTGAGCAGGATTTGAACAACCAAGTGGTCGTCATCCATGGCGGATTTCACCCAGTTATCGTCGTCAGTCATGGTGGTGGCAGAGAGAAAGTAGGGAAAATAATAATGGGGGTTAGGGGGTGGGCTTTATATGTATTTATTATTATGTGTGTGAAGAGTAGAGAGTACATATGGTATTTGTTGGTGTAGGAACGAATGGGTGGAGCTTGGTGTGATGAGGCTGGGACCCATTTTTTCCCATTGACCGTCCTGCCCTTGCCTTCGTTTTCTTCCAATTGATGTCTAAATAGAAAAAGTCAGGGTGTAAGTTGTCAATTTACCATTTTTGAATAATCTTTACTTTTATAAACCAACATAATGGGATGAGAATAAAATAGCTATCCATATATAAGTGTTTGTAGCAGCGGTGTGTATCGGACGGGTTCGGATTTCAAACTAAAATTTTGAACGAATTTCGAATACGCAAACCGACCCTCGCATCTTAGGTTTCGGAGTTCAGTTTGTTTTCATGTTACATTCGATTAATCTTGAGTATGAATTCTATTGATTGAACGGAGTGATTGAAATTGATAGTAGGTTTAATATTTATAAAATATTATGGCCCGTCAGGATTTAGGAGTTCCGAATGATAATTGTGTGAATAAATATATTTATATAATATTTAAAAACTATATACATATATATATATATATATATATATAGGGTTGGGTCCCGGTGAGAATGAAAGTTAAGATGAGAAACATAAGATATGATCTCCGCCCGTGAATGCACCTTAGGATGAGATGCATTAGATCAATCATTGTATCAAACGTGATTCATAGATAGATTTGAGATTAAATGTGATAAATGGTCCAGATCATTTCATACATTTCACACACCATCATTCGCCTATGTGTGTGTATGAGTGTATGGATTTCAAATGGATCGGATGGCCAAAAATCAAACCCAGGCCAAAAACAAATATCCCCCAAAAGTCAGGTTTTGGGTTTTCGTTTTCCTAGGGATTCGGATTTTGTACAAACACTTTGTTTTCTATTCGGGTTAAGCTCCGGTTTTCGGACTATTCGGGTTTTTCACACCTTTAGTTGTGGTGTGATATGATGTTTAATGGACTCTTTACCAAATATTTACTATATATGTGTTTACCGGTAGGAGTCACTGACTTACTTTATCATGCAACATTTTTATCATTAAAATGGATTGTTGGTAAATGTTTTGTATCAGATAAGTGCTTTCTTCCTCACTTAACGGGTTAGATGGTTGATCATTGTTATGTATGTTCCGATACGATGTTGATGGTTTGTGGAGTAGGTTGAATACCCCTAAAACCGTTCATGCTTTGGTCCAAAGGTTTATTTATTTGGTGTTGATCGTTTGTATTTGGGCAATGCAACGAGACACATTTCGATTTTAATGTTATATTTTATTATTTGCCTCTGTCGATATTATAATACGATTTTATGTGTTTTTAATAAAACAATAATGATTTTATTTTTGAATAAAATATAAATTTGAATATATCATAAAATTTAAAAAAAAATATATATATATATATATATATATAT